AAACAAGTCACATGCGACACTGTTTTGGACTACATGACAGGGTTTTATGGCTGAGTGACGACTCCAACCATCACTGTTTAGAACTACATGACAGGGTTTTATGGCTGGGTGACGACTCCAACCATCACTGTTTTGGACTACATGACAGGGTTGTACATGTATGTGGCTGGGTGACGACTCCAACCATCACTGTTTTGGACTACATGACAGGGTTGTATACGGCTGGGTGACGACTCCAACCATCACTGTTTAGGACTACATGACAGGGTTTTATGGCTGGGTGACGACTCCAACCATCACTGCTTTGGACTACATGACAGGGTTGTATATGGCTGGGTGACGACTCCAACCATCACTGTTTTGGACTACATGACAGGGTTTTATGGCTGGGTGACGACTCCAACCATCACTGTTTTGGACTACATGACAGGGTTGTACAGCTGGGTGACGACTCCAACCATCACTGTTTTGGACTACATGACAGGGTTGTATATGGCTGGGTGACGACTCCAACCATCACTGTTTTGGACTACATGAAAGCGTTGTATATGGCTGGGTAACGACTCCAATCATCACTGTTTAGGACTACATGACAGGGTCGTATATGGCTGGGCGACGACTCCAACCATCACAGTTTTGGACTACATGAAAGCGTTGTATATGGCTGGGTAACAACTCCAACCATCACTGTTTTGGACTACATGACAGGGTTGTATATGGCTGGGTGACGACTCCAACCATCACTGTTTTGGACTACATGACAGGGTTGTATATGGCTGGGTGACGACTCCAACCATCACTGTTTTGGACTACATGAAAGCGTTGTATATGGCTGGGTAACGACTCCAATCATCACTGTTTAGGACTACATGACAGGGTTGTATATGGCTGGGTGACGACTCCAACCATCACTGTTTTGGACTACATGAAAGCGTTGTATATGGCTGGGTAACGACTCCAATCATCACTGTTTAGGACTACATGACAGGGTCGTATATGGCTGGGTGACGACTCCAACCATCACTGTTTAGGACTACATGAAAGCGTTGTATATGGCTGGGTAACGACTCCAATCATCACTGTTTAGGACTACATGACAGGGTCATATATGGCTGGGCGACGACTCCAACCATCACTG